CCGACGAGTTACTGGTGATCAGTTCTTGTCGTACCCCGTCCATTCGCTCATCCTACGCCCCGATGAGTTACTGGTGATCAGTTCTTGTCGTACCCGTCCATTCGCTCATCCTACGCCCCGATGAGTTACTGGTGATCAGTTCTTGTCGTACCCGTCCATTCGCTCATCCTACGCCCCGACGAGTTACTGGTGATCAGTTCTTGTCGTACCCCGTCCATTCGCTCATCCCAAGCCCCGACGAGTTACTGGTGATCAGTTCTTGTCGTACCCCGTCCAAACGCTCATTCTAAGCCCCGACGAGTTACTGGTGATCAGTTCTCGCCGTACCCTGTCCGAAGGAGAGCCCCAATCTAGACCCCCGGTACTAAATATATTATCCATCAGTCTTCCCATTAATAGTCGTTGATTTCCGTTGAATAAGGAAAGTATGGGTTCAGTAAGACCAAGATAGGAATGATAACGCGCAGCTGAACTTGTGAGTGCTCGCCTTGACCGAGCCGTATTTTGTGAGCTAAGAACGTTAGTTGGTTAGAATGAGATAATTGAGGATATAATTTTACGAAGTAATTTCCGTGAACGGTTTAAGAGCGCCAGGTGTTGCTTTGAGCAGGGTTAAAGTAGGATGTTAGCCTTGTCGGGAAATGATTATTCAGTTAAACCGTTGTTTTATGCTATTACGATCATACAGTGGACGTAAGGAAAGGGATACGAGTGCGAAGTAGGAATAGGGCAGGTAGTCCGAGGCGATGTGTTGTTGATGCGATGGGTAGGAATTCCTCGGGAAATGTAAGGGAGTCGAGAGTAGGTTGAGGCGGGAAGTTTCTTTTTTTTTTGTTATCGTACGGGCAATTGTTTTTTTTCTTCGAGGCTAGACGGCTTGTGTGCCCGGCTTCTATGTCGATATTTCTACCAACATGGCTTTTGTATAGTTGAGTGCGTACAGCGAGAGGTCTGTATTGTCAGGGCGGTGTCAACAATGTCTGCACGTCTTATTTCGACCGAGAGTAGGGACCGTAGCGTAGTGTCGTGAGGTAGTGACGTCGGTAGGTTTGTCAGTAGGTGGAAAGATGGATTGAGTTGGAGTTGCAGGGTAAGCAAGCGAAGTATTGAGAGGTATGTAGGTAGTTCGGATAATTTTGGTAGTCAAGGTAGTTGAGTCCCTGTAAAAGTTAGTGAGGCCGGTAAGTCGTAGCCAGCGGGGTACGCAGCGTTAAGTCCTCGGAGTCGACGGGCTCCCCGTAAAAGTTAGGCCGAGATGTAGTGACGTCGAGTGACGTGGTGTCGGTGCAGCGTGTGCTGCGGTGTTAATGGTAACTCGGCAGGCCGACGGGCCCTAAATTGAGGCAGGCCCGGGATGGGACAGCATGGTAGCCTCCGGTGAGTTTTTACTTAGCTTCTTTGTTATATGGCGGATAGCAGACAGAAGACGACACTTAAGACCCTGTTAGCGTGTATGGATGCATTTCGATGGACATTTATCCCGCCTGGGGGTCAATCTTTCATTTGGTCACCGGCACTACTGGAGGGAGATTTTCGGGGGCAACGCAAACCAAACTAGGAGTGTGTAAGACGTGAAAGGGGTCTAATGAATGGAGATGGACGAATCTTAGGTTAAGGACCAGTAGGAGTTGCGTTGAACTCAGCCGGAATGATCAGATAAAATGACACTCGAGGGTATACAGAATTTAAGCATTAAATTATCATTCAACATCACAAAGCCGATTCAATGTACCAGAATGACCAGCCTCAAATAATATAAAGCATCGACTTTCACCCGATGCAATATTGTCTGCAAGGGAGGACTTTCATCACTTTCTATCTTTTCTCTATCTTTGTTCTTCCTCTATTATATCTTCTCATTTTCCTCTTTGTCCGTCTATCGAGGGAATATTGACGAAAGGTGGCGGTTTTCTTTATTTCTAACTATAATTTCACACTTCAACTTAACTTTTCTACTTTTCCCACTTTCCTATCAGTCTCCCGCGCTACACTTGCCTGGCGTCAGCGCTCCCCAAAGCTTGATTGTTGGTAGGAGCTTGCATGTCCATCGAGCGGACGCGGGGAGTAGCGTCAAGAACCACGGCAGAAGAGTTGGCGATAGAGCACTTCATGGGCCGGATAAATCCGTTATCCACGGATAAATCCGCGGACCGGATAGGATTGGATTCTAAATTTGTTAAAAAGGAACGGATATGGGCGGGCCGGATTTGGGAATTGAAGGTTGAACCCGGATCAAAACGGATCAAAATTTTAACATTCAACATTGAAGTTAAAAATTAATATAGTGTGTTAAGCGGCAGCAGAGGTTTTTGCCTTTTGAGCATGGTTTTTGGAACCATGATGGTCTGTGAGATGTATGGCTGTCTGGTCCCTTAGATTGAATTTGTTAGTCCAGTTTTGGGTGAAACCAGTTATTGGTGAATGAAACGGATTATTACGGATATTTTTTGGAAGTTTGGCTGCAATACGGGCCATGGATGGGCCGGATTCTGATATTCAAAGAAAGGCGGATAATGGGCGGATCTGGATATGACTTGCCGGATATGGGCCGGGCCGGATCCTAAAAAGCCTATCCGTGAAGTGCTCTAGTTGGCGATATCTCTTTCTTTTGCTGCTAATTTCGTTGTCATAAGTGCTGATAGTCTAGAGCTACCGTCCCAAAGACAGCTCACAGCGGCCCCTCAGCCTCGGTCATATGGCCCCTGAATCCTGATATAAGCCCCGGTCGTGGTAGGTATACCGGGCTGTCCGGCGGCGCCGCGCCCCGGAATGCGGATCGGCCCGGGGCGGCGTGTGATTCAGTCCAGTTGTGGCGCCAAGTGGGTGGACGCCGAGTGCCCCGGGCTGAGGAGTGTCCGACGGGAGTGCACAGGAGTGCCCTCGCGGTGAGTGCCGTTAGACCGGTACAGCACTGCAGGCCCAGACACGCCGTAACAGGCGCGGTCCAGCTCAGGACATAGAGTTAGTGGTGCAAGCGTTCTCAGACACAAGGCTGATTGGATGTGCTTGATGGCTTTGCGGAGCTGGAGCTCGGGACGCTACACAACTTCATTGAGCGTGCACGTCCGACGGACGATATCGGCTGATCGGGCCCGGTCAGATGCGCGCGGCCGTGTGCCAACTTTATCACCGCACACGTGATTCATCCACTGAGCGCGGCAGTCTCTTTAAGTGGCATCAATAGACCATAAATCGGTCACACTTTGGCACTGAGAAAACACTCAGAGTCGCTGCGGCGGGTGATGTGTGCATGAATAAATTAAATTCACGGGTGATAAATGTCACTAGTCGGAGCAGTACTATCATCACACAGCTGAGCAACGAACATTGGACTGGGTGGAGAAAGCAGTTCATTTTCATGACGTGAAGGTCAATATCAATACTGATTAAATACATTACAAAATACGTGACGCAGTTAGATTATTTTACTGTGCTAAATGCAATAAAAGTCATTTCGCAACGGATCACCATCCAATTCAAATATGTAGGTTCGATATTTTATCCGAATATACTCTCGAAAGCAGATACTTGTCATTTATTGTCTCAAATAAAATAGCTCCATTTTCATTAAACCTGACGAAATTGTGTTTGGCTGTCGACTTTTTTCTTTCTATAAAAGAGTTCAGCTTGTGAAGTTAGCGAACGCTCTCCGCGCACCTCGGAATCCTTTGGCACGCGGTTGGCCTTGTTGCCGGGCGTTTGGAGCGGCGTTTTTATTGCCATCGGTCCGGCTGTGTGACAGCCCGCCGCCCCAGAAATGGCTTCTGTCCCCGTTCCACCTGTGGGGTCCACAAATATTGCCGGGCTGTATAAATTCCTGGCGGACCTCTGCGACCGGACACACCTCGCTGGACCAGACCGGCCGGCCGGGCTGGCAGGGGAGGGAACACTGGGGAAGAGCTGACAGGAGGCTGGGGGACACTGACTCACTTCGCACGGACGGGGAGCTGTGACCAGATCAACCAGCCGACTTATGCTCAGGGGGGGGGGGGGGGGGCAGCCGACGGAGGGCTGGGGGTTACCGAACGAGCTAACAGAAATCTGAGGCCCTACTGAGACCTTGGGAGTGGGGACTCGACCAGGCATGGGGAGATGAAACGTCGCCTAGCTTAGCTGTGGCGACGTTTGTGCTGTGGGATATCACGATACAGGGTCATCGACGTTGTTCAATCTAGTCAGTGGCATTCCATCACAGCCGTAAAAAACGAAGACCAAGACGCAGTGACAGAAAATGCCTCACAATTTGCGTTTCATCAGCTCTCTTCTCTTTCGCCTCTCACTGATGCCACAGGTCATGATCGATCCAGCTCTCTGGCGCAATGTGTCACCTCAGGGCCATCAGAGAGCAGTTTTTTAACTGCCGGCCGGCCGCTGTCCCCGGTCGGCGGCGTCCCGACCGTCCCTGGCCCTCTCCGTCGTCCGTGTTTTATTGGGCTGTTGGCCGTGTTTTACGGTGTGACCGTGTTTTATGGCCGTCCCCGAAGTGTCCTCAGTGTCGGCTCCGGTGACAGCTACTGACCGACCACCCAGAAACTGGAGCTGTCGGGAGCGGGCCGACCGGAGGACGGACGGCGGGCGGGCGGCGCGGGCGTTGGACTCCCTGGTGGCTAGTCTGAGTCAGCGGTATCCCGTGAACGGTGATCGGGCACTCCTAATGCAGACGGCTCGTTCACAGCTGGGTGAACTGACTACACCCAACCATAAATTAAATCTAATTCGTGTGTATCTTTGTGTTTTTGTGGCTGGATTGGTGACCAAACTGTATCGAAACGCAAGCGCGAAGCTGCGCCATTTGAATCTGTTGGTCATTTGTTGAGATCTTTTTAGCTTTAGTGATATGGTTTGTTCGAGTAGGTGACCAAACTCAACTCTTGTCGGACGCCACAGGTCTGACCCCTCGAGCCTCTTCACTCGGTGTCATGGTAGCGCACTCGTCTACAGATACATCCGCCTCCTCATTCAACCTCATCCACCCAGGCCCCGGGTAGACACAAGTTGTGAAATATAAGTACGTATTTATTCTGTCTCGAACAAATCTTATAACAAATTACAACACTCATAATATATCAATGCAACACATTCTGGAATAAATTACTGATTATGCGAAACACAACACGATGCAAAAGAAATACATGACAACAGCGCCGCCGACGGTCACGGCCAGCGAATAAAACACAACTATGACACCTGAGACATTGGACAGGGTGCAGCTGGGCGACTGCGGCGGGCCGACCGCTCACATGGCCAGGATATCGGCAATGCTGAAGCCGTGCTTCTTGGCCGGCTCGGAGGGGGTCGGCGAGGAGCCGTCGCGGCGCGGCGAGCCCCAGCCCAGCGAGCTGGCTGGCGACTTGGGCGGGCTGGTCGAGCGCTCGCTGCCGGCGCACTCCGAGTCGGCCGGCGAGTGCACCAGCTCGTGGAAGCGCAGGGAGGAGAGGCGGTCGAACGTCTCGCCGCAGAAGCAGCGGTGCGAAGCGGCGGTGGGCCGGGCGGCCGGCGCCAGTCGGCTCTGCAGGCTGCGCAGCTCGGCGGCGGCAGAGGCCGACTGCTGCGAGCACGACGAACGGTGCACGGCCAGCGTGCGCGCCTGACAGAAACCCTTGTCGCAGATGTCGCACTTGAACGGCTTCTCCTTCATGTGGATGTACTTGTGGTCTCGGAGGTGGTCCTGTCGGCGGAACGCCTTGCCGCAGACGTCACACGGGAACGGCCGCTCGTCCGTGTGCGTCCGCTCGTGGATCAGCAGGTTGTAGCTCTTGCTGAACTCGCGCTGGCAGTACTTGCAGATGTAGCGCTTCTTGGGCCGGGTGGGCTTCTGGCCGAACAGCTCCGGGCGCAGCAGCGGCTGGCTGAAGTAGCTGAGCAGGTGCGGGTGCAGCAGCAGCTCCGGCTTTCCGGCGGCCGCCAGCAGCTGGGGCGTCAGGTAGAAGCCGGGCAGTTGGCTCGGGTGCATGGCGAGGCCGGTCGGTGGCGGTCGGGAGCGGAGCGGTGAGCGGGCGGCGGCGGCGGCGGCGCGGCGCGGTGTGACGGTCGGCGGCGGCGGCGGCGGGCGGCGGCCGCCACCGACCCGCCCCTCGCCGCCGATTGGCTGCGGACCAGGGACCGCCCACGGCCGCGGCCGCCGCTCAGGGACCGGTGAGGTGGGCGGCCGGTCACCGCTGCCCGGCGGCCCTGGCAGCGAGACGGCGCCGACACCGCCACCGCCAGCTGCCCCCGCCGACCCCGCCACCGCGCCCCCGGCGGCTGCCGGCGCCCTCCACCCCTTCACTCCCTTCCTCTCACCTCCCTCTCCCTCTCGCTCTCTCTCTCCCTCTCTCTCTCTCTCTCTCTCTCTCTCCTTTTCTTTCTTTCTTTCTCTCACACGATGTCTATCACAATCTGAACTGGCTATAACAGGTTTGGTGATTGTTAATTTGGAATTACGTGTCGTAGTTATATGACATTAGGGAAACATGACGGATATAGGACATTCAAAGTAACGGCCATTTGACATTCGAAGGACTTGTTCATAAGACAATGCAAAACTCTTGTGGTGCCTTCAAAGAGCTGTTTTACTTTCATACCCATGACATTTTATGCCTTTCGGGTTTCATCCATAGTACTTCTACATGGCGCTGGAAGCCACGCCCACTAGCGATCGTTTATAAATATCTCCATTCCCCAACCCCAGTTACCTACATTTTTTTTCATCAAAATGTGCTTGAGAGCTGCTTTATTTTTATGTTTTACAAACACGTATATATAGGTTATTCCACTTCAATTCTGTTGTGACTATCAGGCCATTTCAATTGTTACTTTTGGACTGTTATAGTCCATCAATCACTGTACTCCCGCCTGTTCCTTTATTACTCTTCATGTCTCCGCACTAGTTGTACTTGAGAGGCCTGACGTCGCGTTAGAGAGAGCTAGGAATCATGAAGGCGGTCTGTTCAGTGTTCGCACAAAAGAAAAAACGTATGCAAAAACACATGGTCATGATTTGCTCTATGTTGCTGGTAGAGCTGCTTGGCTTGACAACGGAATTCATTTTGCATTTATTGTGTGTTTGTGATGCAATAGCAATTGCCTTTGCAATAATTTTACCTGTAATACCTACATATTTTTCAGTGCGGGCTTACATTATGTCACAGAATGCAAACCAACAAGAAAGCGTAGCTCAATAACGGACACAGTTTTGGGTGAAATTTCTCACTAGGTACGGTTTCTATTCAGTGACCCAGCACTTACTTGGCGTGCCGAGTGGGTCCGAATCCTGAGTGAACCCTATATAGGTATTGGTAGATTCTTCCCTGATTTAATTCACAATTGCCTATATTTTGTTTCAAACACCTATATGCGTCGAACACACACAATACGCTGAAAAGCGCATGGTTTCTAGGTATTCTATGTTTGTCGTCTTATCATCGCTGTAGTTCATACAAGTTCAACTCTACAGATTCTCCGGTTCGTAAAAGTAATGCACGGATCTTATGCCCATCAATCCAATTTTCTAAATAAACTTTTAAAAAGCTCATGAATGATGATTTATCAGAAAATACATTTAGTGATGTTCAATTTTACTGAGTAGTTCTGTTCATTGTACATGAAATGCATGTTATGGACGTCAAAGAGTAGTCAGCCCTGACGAGCTCGCAGTCCATACCCCGACCGAGTGTTTGCGCTGTGACTTGTGAGATACCTGTGAGCGCGCCGGTGGTCCTCGGCGCACCTCTGTTCTCCGGTCTGCGGGGCTCACCCCCGTGCCGAGGTACCGGGGAGCCGGCTGCCCCGACAATCAGCCCACAGCGGTGCCCTGCTAATTAGAGTGTCGTGCCGGCACTGACCGACAAAACAATCGGCGACGCCTCCGGCCGCGCCGCCGCCTAACGAGCGGGTGTGAAGACACGTCGTCTACAAATTGACGGGGGAAGTCGGCTCCTTTCAGCGCGGCCCTGCGGTCGTGTAATCAGAAGGTGGACACAGCGCCGAGCGCCGCGCCGTCACAATCACAGACCACCAAATTAAAATGGTGCGACTACTCGTGCTGGGCGGGGCGGCCGGCCGCGCGGCGGGCCGCCTGTTATTAGCCGGCGAACCGGTACGGCGCGGCGCTGTTTGCCGCTGTCGCTTTGTTCCGGACAGCGGCGGGGGTCACTGGGGCCCGCCCCGCGCCCACCGAGACCACCGCTGATGGCTATTTACACTGGGAAGAGCTGTCCGGTCGCGGCTGACACGGACGTTCTCACACTTTTCAATTTGTGATGTGTGTTTGATGACACGGCCGCGGCGGCGATGGCCGGTCGACGGAGGCGCGGCGCGGCCGGCTGAGACTCTCATCATGACGCGGCGAGAGGCGTCATCAATAACACACCGGCCATTACTCAAAGGACGATCCGCCCGGCTCTCAGCCCGCCCCACAATCCGATGGACCTTATTCATGGAGATACTTGGCTGAAACTGTATGGCAGATTCGAAAATGGCGCGGCGCACCGCGCAAGTTTCCGCTCTAGCGCCGGTATTATTTGGAAACTGTTATAAATTTGTATAAGAAACTCACTGAATGGAACCATTGCGTTGCGTGAAAAGGGAAGTAAAATGGGAGAGTGCATGAGAACATGCCTGGCTAAACATGAAAGGCTGTTTATAAAACTAAGGCCTACCTAAGCTTAAATATACAAGTTAATCTTTCGTTTCTAAATGCTGATCGGATATAGAAGCACTGCAATAGGATAGAAGCATTTAGAATACTTCTCTTGGTCTGATCGGGGCCTCTCCGTTGCATCAGGTCCGTCCCCATCTAACGGGGGTCACATCTCCGTCTGACCAGGCCCCAGCTTCGTTTGACCGAGCCCCGGCTCTATCTGACCGGGTCCTAGCTTTGTCTGACCGGCCCCCAGCTCTGTCTAACCGGGCCCCAGCTCCGTATGACCGGGCCCGATTCCCATCTGACCGAGCCCCAGCTCTATCTGACCGGACCCCGGCTCTATCTGACCGGGCCCCAGCTCTGTCTAACCGGGCCCCGGCTCTGTATGACCGGGCCCCGATTCCCATCTGACCGGGCCCCAGCTCTATCTGACCGGACCCCGGCTCCGTCTGCCCAAGTGCTGACTCTGTCTGACCGGGGTCACACGCGCACCTGTGCGCCGGCCCGACCGCGGCGAATCAATTGGCCCGCTAATGGTCTAATCAGAGCAGCGGAGGCGGGCGGCGCGGCCTGGCGCGCGTGGTATGTCGGTCCATACATCTGCCTGTGACCGGACAGCGCAGGACGCGACCACAGGCGCACGGTGACGGGAGGCGGGGTGGGAATGTGTGGGAGCAGGTGGCGTGATGGGTTTTCCATTCCCCGCACACTGGCAATTGGAACTGGGTATTTGAGGGATGGCTGGCATGGAAGGAAACTACATATAAAGAAATGAAAGCAAAATGAATGAAGAAGGGAAGAAAGAAAAAATGAAACGAAGACAGGCTGCAAGACAGACAGACAGACAGACAGACAGACAGACAGACAGAGATAGAGAGAGAGAGAGAGGGATGAGAGAGAGAGAGAGAGAGAGAGAGAGAGAGAGAGAGAGAGAGAGAGAGAGAGAGAGAGAGAGAGAGAGAGAGAGAGAGAGAGAGAGAGAGAGAGAGAGAGAGAGAGAGAGAGAGAGAGAGAGAGAGAGAGAGAGAGAGAGAGAGAGAGAGAGAGAGAGAGAGAGAGAAGGTAGATGAAAGATGTTAGATTGGTTAAGATTAGATTACATGCATGCGCTACAGAGGCAAGAGATACGTTCTCATGTAGCTGAATTAGCAATTACACGCGTGTCCGACAACAGCATTAGTGGCAAGGGCCATCCCATTACTGCCGAGTCTGTATGCAAATGTTGTTTGCCGGCTGGTGACGGTCGAGGTACTGAGCGCGACCCTTGTTCTCAGGTGACCTCAGACTGTCCGCTGGCCACGGTGGTGAACATGCTGATGCGCGCTGTCTACTGTCCAATGTCACTGTCCAGACTGGTGAACAGATGCAGATATAGGGCTGTATGTGTTTTGCCAATTCAGTATCGGAGTTCGGACAATATATTCCTGCCCGGGGCCGGGATGATTCAATAAATGTCACCGAGGTTTTTTAGCGAAAACTCCGAGGGCCGTTAGGCCCGAGGTGCTTTTCGCTAAAAAAGCGAGGTGACATTTATTGAATTCCCGGCCTTAGGGCTGGAAGGTGTTTCCCATACCTGCCAAAAAGCTCACAACTATAATTGATAGTGACGTCAGCAGCCGTGTGGTTCAACGCGTTCGTGGTTTAACCACACCCCTTGAACCACACGGCTGGCAATATTAAAGCACTGCATTAAGCATTGAAAAGTGTGGTACAGTGCACGTGCCATTAAAATGCCTGGATGTCTCGATTTAATCATGCAATATAGCAGGTATGGGAAACCCATTTTCTGCTCGCTGAGACAGACAGCTGCACTGTGGTCTATACAGAGCCTTGTGGTTGTACTGTGGTTGTAAACTCACAGACGGCCGCGCTCTGTCCGATGGCCGCTCTGGGTGCCGCAGCAGGATATTGCACCGTCTGCCGGTGATCGGTGTGCAATTAGCCGTCATCAGCGGCTGCAGAAGCGCTGTGCAGCCGCACGAGCGGCGGCTCCGGCCCGGCGGACCGAGCGGCGGCGGAGCGCCGTTCTCACGGCTCGGCCGGCAGAGGCGCAGCCGCCGGCCGCCGCCACCCCGTGATTAAGACGGCCTCGAGGTCAAATGTCACCGGGCGCACCAATGGCAGGCCGCCGCGGCGACTCACCGCGTTACGCCTCGCCTCCGGCCGCCCCCGCCCCCGCCCCCGCCCGGCGGCCGCCGCTCACAAAAACCACACGATCCACCGTGGAAAAAGCCGGTAAATCACCAACGTAACGGATTCCGAGCGTTGTTTCTGGCGGCCGGGAAATGTTCAACATTTCGTGACCGTGTCGGCAATAATGCAGGCGGAAGATGAGCGTCTCGGTCAAGAGTTGCCTACAAATGGGAGGAGCGGTGGATATTTACGTGATCAGTTAAGAATGAATGTCTCTAGTTT